ACACGCGTTCCTCTAATCCCCTGAGGTCAAACATGCACCCAGGGCCCGATTCAGTTGCCTCAACGCTGGCACCTAGAGCCATCTGAGATGCCTGAGGTGTCTAGGACATCTGTGCAAGGGCCGGAGACCTGCAGCCTTTCAGCGCAGCGCTTGAAGGCCATGCCAGGGAGGTGTTTTATGGGATCTCAAGCAGCGTTTGACACCATCTCCTCAAGTAGCTGGATTTCTCCTCCTCACCACATGCAGAATCGGGAGTTTTCACCTTAAAAAAAGCCTGAAGGGTCGCAGTGGATAGAAAGCCCTTGCAACACGAAACCAGTACGACTGGGGACACAATGCACAGGAGCCAAGATCTCCTCTGCCCCCCGTTACCTGCCCGGAGACTCGTCCAAACCCCACCATGGCAGGGTGCTGGAGGCGAGGCGGGGTGGGGAAGGCTCTGCAGGCTGGATTGGGCTGCAAAGCGGGACGCGCTGGAGGTTTAGTTAGAATCGTAGAATCATAGAATCGTCTAGGTTGCAAAAGACCTTGAAGATCATCAAGTCCAACCGTTACTACGTAAAGGTTGCATTATCCCCCCGATCTCTTTATAAACCAACTTTGCCATCCATGTAGAGGTCCAGCATGGGCTGGAGAGATGGTGCCAACCTGAATTTCTCCTCTAGCTGCCTCTTAATGTGGAGAAGCAGCCTCTCCTCCTCGGCAAGAGCGGCGTCTGTGCAGCAAACTTTGTCCTTCGGCCTTGGCACTGAGAAGCTGGGTTTGATAGGAGCAGCGAGTAGCAGGGACCTTGGCTGCGGTGAAACTGGCCCTGCCTTTCACCCCTGTCTCCCCGCTTCCCTCTCTGCTCCTGCTCTGCAATTTTAAGAAATCCCAACGCCGAGTCTTTCTTTTCCCTGGATTAGGCTGCGTGTGTTGGCTGCAGCGGTCTCGGTCAGCTTGGCTTCGGTTCCTTACTGTACATCTGGTCCTCATCTGGAGCTGAAAGGATAAACATGTCTGCTGCTTGGGAACTGCTGGCACGTTGGAGCCCTCGCCTTTGTGCCTCCCTGCGAGCGTGATGTGCCACGGCTCTCTTCATCGTGTCAGACCCGGCAAATCCCATTGACTCCAATTAGTCACGTCATTGGAATGTCTCTCATTACATATTAATCTTATTCCCAAAGAATATTGAGCAGGCTTTGCAGAAATCTTATTTTTGCAGCTCAAAGGTTCCCCTTTGCCTTCAGCTGCTTTGCTTCCTTCCAGCTGCTCCGGCTCCAGCCCAGCCTTCCCGCTTTCGTGCCGGCAGAAGTTTTACTCTGCCTCCCGCTGTCCTGCCCACGATGCCTGCGGGAGCAAAGCCTGCAAAAACACTGCAGTTTTATTCCCAAACCTCACCGAAACGCTGCCCGGGCTGCGTTTCACGGAGGGGTTCATCCTTACAAACAGGTTTAGGCGCGGGGCTTGAGCTTGAGCGGGCTCAGCCGGCGTCGGAGCCGGGGGACAAGGCTGCATCCCGTGGGATTCGCAGGATGCAGCGGGGTGGGAGCCTGTCCCCGCGGCGGCAGGGGCTGCGTCGCTCGAGCATCGCCCAGCGCAGCCCCCTCGCTGCTTCGTAAACCTTAACGAGCCTCCCCTTGACTCCTTCTCTCCGCAGCCCGTGCATCACCTCGCAGCTGGATGAGCTCCTGTGTCCTCCCACCACGCCGGAGGGGCGGAACGACGAGAAAGCCCTGCTCGAGCAGCTCGTCTCCTTCCTCAGCGGCAAAGACGAGACGGAGCTGGCCGAGCTGGACCGAGCTCTTGGGATCGACAAACTGGTCCAGGTAAAGAGAGAACCGCTCGTGGGCCTTACTAGAGGTCAGAGATGGGGCCAGATGCTGAGGCTTGACGTGAGCGTGGAGGAGGATTTGCAACATCTGGTAACAGGAGGCCAGATGTGAGTGGGAACACACGAGCGCATCAGATTTGGAGATGACACTTAACACCACACCGTTCTCCACCCCCCCCACCCCGCCAAAAAAGCTGGAAAACAGCCCCGTGCAATACAATATCTCGCTTCTCCGCTTTTCAGACGCGATCCCCCATGAGAACGGGCAGCCTGGCAAGGAGGCGGCCGAGCATTTTCGGCCCCGGGCGGCTCATGTAACGGGGAGAGCTGGCAGGCTGTCCCGCTTCCCCACCTTACCAGGGGGATTAGGGCACGGAGGAGCCTTCCAGCTGGAATCCCACAGCCTGGGATTCCTGAGCCTGGGTTGTGCTGCCTAATAATATATCTAATGGCCTCGCTGGTATGAAACCGTGCAGCCCTTACTATCGAGATTGGCTTACAGTGCAGCTGCCCTTCTGTCTCGGGTTGAACCGCCGGGGGGAAAAAAAAAAAATGAGGTTTGCTTTTAGCAGTGGTGTCATACTCGGATAGCGCTGGGGCCCTGGTTCCCGCAGCTGGGCGCCGGTGGAGACTCCCTGTTTGCAGAGCTCCATGGGGGCAGATGAAGGGTTCAGGGTTTCATAAATAACAGGGCATGGCGGGAGGAGAAAGCTGGCTGTGGGGGACGTGGAAAACGAGACAGATTCCTCGGGATTTGTCTTCGAGTGGTTCCTTTTTCCACGCCCCGGAACGCTCGCATGCCTGCTTTTTCCCAAAAGAGAAGGAACAGAATTGAAAGCCTGTTAGTAAATGGGATGTCCAAAGAAAGAAGCATCTCAGAGCAAATCCCTCTGGCTGCTCGGGGCCTGATCCTGCATCATTTAAGCCCGGAGGTGGCACATCCCCTTCCACGGCCCTGACGCGATGCCTCGGAGGGTTTATCTCTTCGTGAGCGATTTGAGGGACCTGACAGTGACTTGATTCCTGAGTCAGGTATTTGCCGCATCCCTTCTTTTCTTATGGCTGTGCCTCCAAAATCACCACCTGCCTTTTTTTTTTTTTTGCAAGTTAGGGGTAGGGAGCTCGTCCTCTCTGGTAGAAGGGATCAGAGATGCTCTTGCCAAAGGTGCAGCTGCAACAGCTCAGTGTTTTCACAAGGGGTTTGCAGACTCAACTGGCAGAGCTCCCCAGCAACCCTTTCCTGCACTGGACAGGCTCCAGCAGCACCGGGCCGCTGGATTGAGATGCCCTTGGATGGCACCCGACGCTGCCCAGCATCCCCGACACTTCCCCAGCCGAGGAGCGCCTGGCTTGGGGGGGGGATTACCTCATGTTTGGACCCCACCCCAGCTTTGCTCCCATCCAGGGATCATTTCGTTAATGGGAATCTTGGGCTTTTTCCATGGCTTTGGCTGAACCTCAGAAATATTTTTAATAGTTCCATGAAATATTTGCTTGAAACACATCTTTAGCGAAAGGACACATCAGCATAAAGGCATCCTTGGGAAGAGGACGCGTTGGTGGTTCCTCTCCAGGGTGTTATTGGCAGGTAGGGGTTCGCATCCCTGGGGGCAGAGTTTGGGGATTTATTCTTGACTTGACCAAACCCATCGTCTTCTCCACGCTACCACAGACGTGGTGGGATGAGGTGCTGGAGGTGTCTGAGCCTGATTTAATCGGGAGGTGGCTGGAAACTGTGTAGTTTGGGGAGGGAAAAGAGCCTCATCTCAGCAGGTCTGTGGTTTCTGGCCATGGCAGGCTGCTGTTTTATTGCCTGATAACCGGTCCTTGAACCATATAAGCTCCATCTTCATTTACCTTAAGCAATTCATTTTTCCCCACCACTGTCTTAACTGATCCTAAGCAAAATCTTTTTCCCCACCGCTATTCCCACATCCTCATCCCTGCCTTCAAACCTCAGTCCTTTGATGGGCACCATGTAACCGAATCCCAAAGGCAGTGGGACTGGGGGGGAGAGGGAGTTATGTTTCTCTTAACGCAGCTTGCTTTTAATCCATGGGGCTCAGATTAAGGATTCTGGCTCCAAGCTGTTACTTCTCTGTGGGTTCATAGCTCAAACTCTAAATTTCTCTGCCTGAGCCAAGCTTAGAGCAGCACAGAATATCTTCTTATCAGGAGCTGCTGGTGTGGAAATCATCCCCTGGCTGCAGTAGGGCTCATTTGTATGGGAATGGCTGCACTGTCTACCAAAAGGTCCTGTCTCCCCTGGGTCCCTAGCAAGGGGTGCCTATAGCTGTGCTTCTCCAAGTCCCAGGGTCCATGGCTCCCACCCTTGGACACGGCCTGCGCCCAAGGTGCTCTTGATGGGGACCCAAAATGCCGTTACCCTCTGCCTCCAGCCGAGCCTCCGAGGCCACATAAAAATAGGAAAGGAGAGAGAGTGCAAACTATTTCCCATGTTCAGGTCGATCCTCTGAGCCTTAGGGTCTGTCCGGCCAGGCACGCTGCTGCCTGGAGCCCAGATGAGCAGCTCGGTGCTAGCAAACCCTGCGGAGGAAGGAAGGCAGCATCACCTTCCGCTACCTGCAACCCCCCACCAGCCCAGGGAGACGAGCCCTGAGCCCTTCCGAAAAGCCTGGCTTTGGTCTTTGCTCCCAAGCAAGCCCAAAGAAAGCATTTCCATCCCTCTAAGGTTTGACAAGCCCCTGGGAGCGAGTGTTCAATGCCCTCCTCAACACAGTGCCAGCGCTCCCACGGGCCGGAGCCTGGCCCAGGGGATGAGGGCAACAGGCAGCAGCATCCTTACCAGCGAGCTGCCCCATGCCAGGCACGTTCTCCATCCCCTCGGAGCTCTCCTGGGAGAGGCCGGGTGCTGCGGGGGCTCCAAAGTGACATTTTCCTCCCCCTTTGCCAGGGCGGCGGGCTGGAAGCCCTGACGGAGCGATTCCAGCCCCAACAAGCCACCCCACCGCTCATGATGGAGCAGAAACCCGGCATGTACCCCCAGCCTTACTCCTCCGCCTCTCCCACCGCCAACCTCCCCGGCGCCTCCCCCGGCCTGGTCAGGCAGAAG